TAAAAGTTACTAATACTTCTTGCAATACCAATTGAGTTTATTTCCTCATGGAAATATATAGTATTTCTATAGCATTTCCATTAGTATATATGCTGATAATGCAGAGTGGTTGGAATAATAATTTCAAATTTTATCTTTCTATGAGCATTATATAGAATATTTGAACATTTACATTTTACTTCTTTTTTCTCCCTATCCTGGGTGCCAACGCTCAAAGCCTTGCACTTGCAATGCAGGTGCTCTACTACTTGAGCCACTCTATCAGCCCTCTGTGTTGGTGATTTTTGAGACAGGGTCACACTTTGTGCCCAGAATGGCCTGGACCATTAACCCTCCCATTTGCACTTTCCCATGCAGCTGGAATGATAGGCAGATACCACTATGCCTAGTCAATGGTTAAGAGGGGGGTCTCACAAACATTTTCCCACGGTTGGTCTAGAACTGTGATCTTCCTATTCTCTGCCTATCAAGTAGCTGGTTTATAAGCTTGAGTCACCACGCCTGACCTTTACTTTGTATATGAATGTTTTATTTCTATATGGGAGAGCAGTGCTTCATATATTTAGCACACATCAGAATCAGATGGAGGACTTGCTAAAACATTGATAGCTGGTTCTTACCACTAAAGTTCCTCATTCAGTAAAACCTTGCTGGGCACGTCAACAATTTCTCAGGTAAATGCCCCTGCTGCTCATCTGAGGAAAATACTTTTAAGAATCACTTTAACATGGGATACTAAAAATGTGAAGTCAATGTTTACAGGAATGAGAGGAAAAAAGTGCTAACCACAATAATTCATTTTCCTGTTTGGGTTTTTCTTTTCCTTTAAAAAAAGGCAAACTTTACTATTATAAAAGAAGTTTTATATTCTGAGGCTGCTGTCCATAACAACATTACCAAATTTCCATTGCTATAAGGGTTTCTGAAGCAATCAAAAAGATACACATAATAAATACATCTATGCGTCACTTGCAATTACAATTTAGTTTTAAAAATATTGAGTTTATATGAGCCTAGCAGGAACTGAGGATCCTCAAGAGGAAGGTAGTTACGCAGCAGTTCACTGTTTGTGTAACCACAAAGTTCTTTCATGGGACTAGTATTTGTGGAACGTGGTTTGGGAAATACCATCCTAGAGTGGATGACAAATGTATAATCTTAACAGAAAGACTATGAGAAGGCTGTAAAAGCCTATTACAACACTTACCAATACAATGGACAGTACTGCCTTTGAAACACTGCTCATCTTTTAAATAGTGTACAATATTCAGATAGTAGCTCACATAGGAAAGTTTCCTTAAGAAATAAAGATTTCTTAATTTGGCCATAATAAAGCATAATGTTATTATTTCCACTTTAACTAGCATGACGTAAGTGAGTGGGGAAAGTATGAGTCAAAAAAGGAGTGGGGGAAAGAAAAATCATTTTATTTAAAAAGCCTGATTTCTTATTGCACCAAGAGATTTCAATTGAAGTGAACTTTCTCATGTGATATTTCCCAGCTGGTTAAAGCACAGTAATCCAGATGACTGGAGATCATAAATTATAAAAATTGTAGAAATGGAAATGATCATGACTGAGTTGTTGGGAAAACTATTGCAAGGAATAAGCAAATGGTGTAACTTAGGTTCTGATAGAAGCAGGGATAAGATAAACAGGAAGAAAAGTTAAGAAGTTCCATTCTTCCTTGAGCTAAAAGCTTTTTCTATTCCAACACCCAGAACTGTAAAGCACTTTCAATTGTTCAACTGAAACTTATGCCCACTCACTAACCCACATAGTGAAGCTATAATGCTAGCAGTAATTGTCAATACTCACACTGAGAACCAAGTAAACACTTTAGTATCAGCAAATTATAATGGTGTCATGTTCTCATAAGTGATGACACATATGTAGGAGGGTTGTCATCACCTCTCGAGTAAGACCCTATGCATTATGTCTACCTGAAATGAGAGTGCTAGTGACAAGGGCATCGATGAACCAGCACTTACTAAAGCATGCCCAGGTTGTAGGGTCATTTATAGGGTGTTTGAAAGTTCATGATAAAGATCAGAATCCTTATCTTCTGGGATTATCATTTGCAAAATGTGGTTATTAACACACAGAAGTGAGAATCTGCTCAAGACAGAGCTCAAATGCTAGCTGTCTATTAATTTATTGTGGTAGAAAAGAAGACAGGGATAATTCTTGCTTAAACACACATGGGAATCTATCAAATAAAAAAGAAGGTGCAAAGACCCTAAGAGGAACATTACAAAGGCCCTAAAGTGAACATTACATACAAACATCATATATAGACAAATGGAAATGGTACAAACTTATAGAAGGACTGAAAAAAAGAAAATTATTTTTAGTCATATTTAAAGAAAAATGTTCACAGTCATCTTATCACTAAAAAATTTAATAGAATTCATGGCAACACAATTATATTTCCTTATTAAATATAGGTGATGTTTCAGAACTTCTATTCAAAAATTATACTTGATAGTAACAAAAGGTTTTTAAAGATACATCTTCTCTCTCTTAACCAAGAGTGCTCATTTGTGACATGATCATTGGAGTCAAGGATGCAATGTGGACTCACACAGACCAGATCAAAGCTAACTGGACTTTGTGGCAAATGAACTCATGACCTAGACCTCATTAGTCATGATCTAACCAACTGAGTTAGTGGGCCACAAAAAATATTGTTGACACTAGATATTTACTTTGAATAATTTCTGCACTTAAACAGTTCCTATAATTTTAAAGAATCAACTCAACAGATGCTATTTTCTAAAGGCTTATTAATGAGTAAATTCATTCAAGTCACATTTACCTGTTATATAGATGACGCTAAGGTTAGTGAGAAGAGAGGTACTTTGAAAATATAGCAGATATACAGAACTTAGAATCAGAGAGCAGAAAAAATGCAACCCACCACCAAACCACAAAATTAACAGCAATAATTAATGTTTATTAAGTACTTATTATTTCTCAGAATGGAAAGCACTTCTGCTAAGTTAATCACCTCCATACTGCACGTAAAAAAGGTGAAGCACAAAGCCACACACTCATAAGAAGCAGAGCTAATCCTTCTACCTTACTTTGGACAAGGACAAAATGAAGGATGACTATGATAGATAAAGTACAGTTAACTCTTTCAACATCCATTTCAAGTGCCCTTTCCTCTTGTCACCTTCTACCATATGGATAAAGGCTACAAACACCCATTCTCAGATTCTTCTGCAGTGAATCATTACTATGTGTCACAGGAAAGAGGATACAATGATGACTGACAACAAGGTGACCTCTAGCAGTGTCTAGAAAGCCATTTATCTTCTGTGGTAGCACAAAGGTCCAAGGGGCTGGCAAGTTTTTTATTTAGTATAAATGCCAACAGTAGTTTAGATTCATGATGCAAGTTCTAAGATAAGCATCTAGGAAGCCCTGAATCTAGATAACAAAGGGTAAAAAATATTCAGTGTTTACAAAATATGCACAAATGTAGATTCACTGGAGTAATAGAAATTTATCAACTTCTGATAAGTTAAGGAACTTCTTATTACTTAGGTAAGTATAAATGAAACAACATAATGGCAAGTCCCACTCAGGAAGAGTTCTTTCTAGAATGGGAAACATAAAAAAGCACTGATAGTACAACATTGGTGATAAGCAGCATACAGTGTTCTCCTTTGTAGGGGAAGGATAAGCTTAACTGCAGAAAAGTGTCAGGGTCCATGTCATAAAGCGTGGAGTGATATGTCAGACTAGTGTGGAGAGTGTAATTTCTGCAGGAAAAACCCCACATGTCCAAAAACACAGAGACATGAAAGTAGAATATTTAGGGAAATACACAATAGGTGGAAAATGAAGCTTGGAGAGGTAGGAATGGGAAGAATGCCACGGTGGTAATGAAGATGGTATTGAGGCAGTGGTGATATGAACAGATTCAGTGACCAAAAGTAATGAAAGAAGAATCAAGATCAACGAAAAGCTTTCTTTCAGTTTTGTGTAATCAATTATGTACCAGACCCTGTATCAAGTACATTACATATTATTTCCTTCACTCCTCACAACAACTCATTAAGAGTAAGATTATTCTCATCTCACTTACATGGAGAGAATAATAGAAAGCTTAAAATATTTAATTACATTGGCTACCATATAATAAAAATAAAAACCATATTCTATAGTTAATAATAGTAATATATAACAACAATTGAACTTAAGTATGATTCATTCTTTTGGTGAGAGTTACTGAAATGGGAAAAAAAAAAATCCCTGCCTGCATGGAGCTCACAGGTTGACACTATTGAGATCAATGACATCAGCCAAGGAAAGAGTATCTGCAGTAGAGTAACGAAAACAGCTACCCTGGGGTACAGCAACACTGAAGGGAAGTGAGCAGAATTTGATCTCAGGCTGCAAAAAAAACACCCCAAATTGATAATACTCCTGAAGACTTAACAATATTCTTAAGTCACTTTATTTCTAATAACACTGACTCTTAATTCAAAGTGACTGGAAAGTCCAATAAATTTACAAATTTATACAGGAGATAAGTTAACTAGGGAATAGGGGGTAGATCCAGACTAGAAAATAAGATTTATTGAGTATCAGGAAGTTTCTTATAGAGTATCTAACTTAATAAATGTGAAAAAAAATCCCACAAAATATGTAATATACTCGATAAACACATTCAACTTACATATTAAAAAATCTAGGTTTTATAAGGCAATGTTAAAATATAGAAATCACAAGTTTTTCTCAGGCTAGGGAAAACTATTAAAAGGCAAAGAACTTCAGTAATTTAAAATATTCCATTAGGGTTAAATGAGAAGCAAAGGTCACTTATTTTTAATAAATAGACAAAGTTCTAAAAACATCAGTTTTATGTCAGTAATTCCACTCTAGTAAAAATAATTGAAATAAGGAAACAATTTGGGAATTGGGGGAGGTAACATATATTATTTCTCTCTGAGTGTAGAATTACAAAGACTTCCCACATACAAACTTACATTGCTCCGTTGGTATAGACAGTATCGCTTCCTTCCACATACTGCACCTGAGCTGGATAGACATGTTGTACTTGCTGCACAGTCTGTACCTGCTGTACCTGACAAACAAATGTTAGAACCAGGTTAGATGTCACATGGTAGAAACTATACAGAGAATTAGGTTTACCTCGTGTTTTGATAAATAAAAGAATGGCTTATAAAAACTATTAAGCTCATGCCAATTTCAAGATAAATAAGCACATGGTAGGCCCAGGTCAACTACAGTATTTATGCTGAATAAATCCCACAGCATCCTTGTAGGAATATATGTATATGTTCAGATTTAAAATTCTGAAAGTTCCTCACTTATTTTGTTGATTTATGAAATGAACAAAATATTTTTGAAATGTTATACCATTTTATATTTTAAAAAACGCTAAATTTATATAATTCAAAATAACTCATAATGGAAAATTTCAAATACTCACACATGGACAAACTCTTTATCCCACGCTTGAATCTACATACTTAACCTCAAAAATAAGTAAAAGTCACCAGTCCTTTCCCTTTACCCTCTCACAGGATTGTTTAAAAGCAATTCCAGAAATTATATGATTTCACTGGTAAATATTTCAATTTGTTATTTCTAAGAGGTAAGGACTGCTTCTAATTTCATATATAAAACATTAACAATTCCTTAGTATTAGGTAAAATTCAGTCATTGTTCAAATTTCCCTCAGTATTCCAATGACTGGCAATATTGTTTTTTTCAAAAAAGGCTTACACACTGCATTTGATTGATATTTTCTTTTGCATTTGGTTAGTATTTTCTTTCCTTTTAATCTCTAAACAGTTTCCCACTCTATTTCTTGCTGATTACTTATTAAAGAAACTGGGTCATCTATCTTATAGAATCTCTACCTTAGAGTTCCAGATTTGGCTAATAGCATCCCTAAATTCTTATTTAACATTATTTTCACACCTCCCATATAGTATATAAATTGGTACTTAAAATCTGGGTCCTGAACAATTTCATTTTTGAAAAATTGTATACTTCCTATTGCATCACACCAATGGCATCTAACAATTCTTTTGGTGATTTTAATTTTGATCAATAGGGACCATTAGGTGTTGTTAGCTGAATTCTTTTACCAAAATGCTTCCTATCTGAGGATACTAATAGCTATCAAAGATTATTATCAAGAGATTTTTTTTTTGGTTGTACTAGGGTACAACCAAAAGTTGGCATGTAATAATTCTTTAGGTAATTTTTATTTTGATCAGCTTTTAAACAAATAACATTTTTCAATCCCAGTAGTCTTTTTTTTCTTTTTAAAATCAACCCATCATTGGCCAATGGCAGTCTCTTCAAACTGGTTCCAATGACATGGGGACATTATCTTTCTTAACTCTACTACTTCCTGGAATGAAAAGATGTTTTAAGTTTTATGTCTTACATTTCTTACCCAAGATGTGAAATCAATTTTTTCAAAGAGGCATGGCTCTTTTTAGTAAAACAAGGTGTTACAATTTGGGCCCTCTGAGTGGTGAACTTAGGTGTGGTTCATATTTATAGATCTTTTTACAGGAAAGAGCTAGAATTTTTTTTTTTTTTGGTACCATCAGGGATTGGACCCAGGGCTATGCACATACTGGTCAAGTGCTCTACCACTTGAAGTAGTCCTAAGTCTCTTTGTATTTATTTTATTTTTGAAATAGAGTCTCAACACCTTTTTGCCTGGACTGGCCCTGAACTCACATTTTTCCTGCCTTGCCTCCTGAGTAGTTGGGATTATAAACACACAATATCACACTTGTATTATTTTTGAAGGAGCAAAAACTATATCACAAATTCCTACTAATTTTATCAAGTTAATTTATTTTATATACATTCAATAGATTTTTGATATAATATTTGCTTATCATTGCTTTTCTTCTAAGAATTTTGCTTCTTGAAGATTTTAACATAATTGCTTATTTGATTTACCATGCAATATATAGTAGATTCAAAATTAAAAATATCAATACTAAAACTAGATTAATAAATACTTAAGTTTCCTCAGATTTTTTTTTTTACCTTAAAACATACAGAGCCAGGAATGCATGATTGTATTATTATGTTTTAATGTCATTGAAAATAAGTAATCAACTGGATACATGTTTAAATTCATGTATTTAAATTTCTTCTTAGTTTTATGATTCACTATATTTCACTTTGCTTTAATTTTATTTGAGGGGGGTTATAAAGGGAGTTTATTAGAAGTTAGGGAAGAGAAATACAAAAGGGAGCATGGTGGGGCCCAGGTGGCAGCTGGAAGCCACTTTTAAAACCTATGATAATCTATGGGAAGGGGAGAAACAGATAATTCTCACACAATAATCAATGAGTAGGAAGGGGCATGGGGCAGTTCCTGGTGAGGGTGGCTTCTGAGCAAAAGTATGGTTAATTTAAAATGTAATATTTTTTCTATGAGTTCCAAACCTTCCTTACTTTGGCCTGCCTCAAATTCCCCCTGAAAGACAATATTCCAAAGAGTTCCTTTTTGAAGGTTGCTAAAGGGGGATGCTTTAATTCTATTTTATGAGTATATGGAATATCTATATGGTTCCTAAGTCATAATTTCAAAACAAGTAACATATTTGAATAGACAATCTTACTTCTATTCCTCTTGTATTATCAAATTTACTTCTATCTCCCATAGATTACCATTTTCATTATTTTTTTCTTCCAGAGCTTTTCTTTTCTTTCAAATAGTTTTAGAAATATAACCAAATATGTATGAATGTATATGGCACCAATATGTGAATACACAAAAACATGAATTATATACACACACCTTATTTTAAGTTAAAAGTAGCACACTATACACATAATTTTGAATCTTGCTTTTTTCACTTAACAATACAGAATAAGCCTAGAGATCATTTCATTACAGTACATAATTCCATAAAGTAATAAATGAATGTATATTTATACCTGGAGTGAGAAGGAAAATTTTCCTGGCAAACAAATGAGTGATAAAAATTATATTTTCACATAAAAATTTTAAACTGTTTGCATGATTTTAATATACGTATATGTATATATGCAAAAACAGACAAATGAGCATCCAAAGTTTCAGAAGAAAAAGATTAACAGTTCTATTAAAAACTGTTTGTATTTGAGAAACTATATCCCAATAAATTTGAAAATCTTGAAGAAGTGGACAAATTTCTAGATACGACCATCCAAAACTGAACCAAGAGGATATTAACCATGTAAACAGATCTATAACACGAAATAAAATTGAAGCAGCAATAGAGTCTCCCAAAAAAGAAAAGTCCAGGACCTGATGGATTCTCTGCTGAATTCTATCACACCTTTAAAGAAGAGCTAATATCAACCCTCCTTAAACTGTTCCACAAAATAGAAAGGGAAGGAATGCTGTCTAACTCATTCTATGAAGCCAGTATTACACTTATTCCAAAACCAGACAAAGACACCTCCAAAAAGGAGAACTGTGGGCCAATCTTCTTAATGAACATCCATGCAAAAATCCTCAATAAAATAATGACAAACCAAATCTAAAAACATACCAGAGAGATAATTTACCATGACCAAGTCATGGTTCAACATAAACAAATCTATAAATGTAATACAGCACATCAATAGAAGCAAATACAAAAACCACTTGATCATCTCAATAGATACAGAAAAAGCCTTCGATAAGATCCAACACCACTTCATGATAAAAGCTCTAAGAAAACTAGGAATAGAAGTAATGTACCTCAACATTGTAAAGGCGGTATCTGACAAAACTACAGCCAACATCATACTTAATGGTAAAAAACTGAAACCATTTCCCCGAAAATCAGGAATGAGTCAGGGTGCCCACAATCCCCACTCCTATTCAATATAGTACTGGAATTCCTAGCCAGAGCAATTAGGCAAGAAGAAGAAATAAAAGGAATACAAATAGGTAAAGAAACTGTCAAAGTATCCCTATCTGCAGACTACATGATCCTATACCTCAAAGGCCCAAAAAACTCTACTCAAAAACTCCTAGACACCATAAGCAGCTTCAGCAATGTGGCAGGATACAAAATCAACTTACAAAAACCATTAGCTTTTCTATACACCAACAATGAACAAATTGAGAAAGAATATATGAAAACAATTCCATTTACAATAGCCTCAAAAACAAATCAAATACCTAGGAGTAAACTTAACAAAGGATGTGAATGATCTCTACAAGGAGAACTATAAGTCTCTGAAGAAAGAGATATAGTGGGAGAAAATATTCACTGGCTATAAATCAGACAAAGGAGTGATAACCAGAATACACAGGGAGCTCAAAAAACTAAACTCCCCCAAAATCAATGAACAAATAAAGTGGGCAACTGAACTGAACAGAACTTTTTCAAGGGAAGAAATCCAAATGGCCAAAAAACACATGAAAAAATGCTCACCATCCCTGGCCATAAAGGAAATGCAAATCAAAACCACACTAAGATTCTACCTCACTCCTGTTAGAATCACTATCATCAAAAATACCACAAACAACAAATGTTGGTGAGGATGCAGGGGGAAAGGAAACCTCATACAGTGCTGCTGGGAATTTCAGCTAGTACAACCACTTTGGAAAACAATATGGATCTACCATATGATCCAGCAATACCACTCATCAGGATATACCCAAAAGAATGTGACTCAGGTTATTTCAAAAGCACCTGCACACCTATGTTTATTGCAGCACTATTTACAATAGCCAAGTTATGAAAATAGCCAAGATAACCCACTACCAATGAATGGATTAAGAAAATGTGGTATTTATACACAATAGAATTTTACTCAGCCACAAAGAAGAATGAAATTTTGTCATTAACAAGTAAATGATGGAACTGGAGAACATCATCTTAAGTGAAGTTAGCCAGGCTCAGAAGGCCAAAAATCACATTCTCCCTCATATGCAGACTTTAGACCTAGAACAAATGCAGTAATATTACTGGACATGGGTCACACGCTAAGGGAAGAACACATACAGGAGGAATAGGGAAAGGTAGGCAACCTAAAACTTCAAAGTGTTTGATGTGCCCACTGCAGAGGAGCGAATTAAGTAATCTTAAACTGACAGAGACC